ATTCTCATTACAACTCTGCAATATACGTATGATTTGGGCCATGAAAGCTCTCTGAACCTCAGTTTCCTCATCTGTAGAATGGGAGTAATTAAAAACCTACTAGCCATTTTATTCCTACAGGAATAAGGAACTATTGCTGGAGTGTTTTGCAGAAGGACTCTGTAAACTATGAAAGGCTTACAAGTAGATACATGCATTGTTTGTGATACAATACCGCATTTTATTCATCTTTGACACTACCTCTCTCCCCAGACTGTGCCCCATGACTTACAGCACAGGGTTAGGCATGTACTGAGAAAAAGGCCATTAAATCTCACCTCCAAGGTCACACTTAGCAGAGAGCTAGATGGCCCAGTGTCTGTCTCATGACCCTTAGAGAAGGATTGCCTTTACCTTCCAGACATGGAATAATTCAATAGAGGGGAAGCATAAAAATAAGGACAGAGTTAACTCCTGGTACCCAGTAGGCAAGTGAATCTGTCAAATGCCATTATGGGAAGAGTAGACAACCAAGTCCCCATATCACAGGATTTCAACAAGGATTTGTTTTGAAGCATTTTTGTTTGGACTGAAAATGAACAAGAAGATGACATGTGAAAAAAAGAGATAAAGAAGAAGATTTAAGCACCAGAAGAAAGACCCAGAAAATGATCCCAGTGAGCAAAAGATCACAGAGAAAAATAGCAAGTACACAGGGCAGTAAGATCAAAATCAGATTACTTAATAAAAGCTAGCATTTCTTTAAATGGAAAACAATGCACATTGGTTGTCCTTGAAATGTGACACGTACTCCTTTTTTCAAGAATGCCAAGGCACTCCAAACCAACAGCCATATCTAACAAAGCCCCATCACCCTAGAGCCCTGGAGGTCATTGTTCCTATACAATAGTAGGAGGTTGATTGAACAGATGTCACAGAACGTAGCAGTGACTTGAAATAGAAAACCCCAGAAAATAAACCTGTGCAGGGAGAGGTAGAATTTGAATTAGGCAAGGGCCCACCTGGTCAATAATGAAATAATTGCTCAAGACACATTCTTCTGTAATCTTTTGCAATGTAACAACTATTCTGTGCCCCACCTCTCTCAATGCTCCCTCAACATTTGCACGTAATCTCAGGGCCTCCCAAAGACACCGATTCAGAAGCCAGGCAGTCACTTCCCTAATGTCACAAAAATAGATTCAATTCTACATACATCAGGGTGATTTCAGAAGCAATTTCTTATCTCCGGTGTAAGCATTACTTACATTTCCCCCCCTCAAATCTCATCCCAGTGGTTCCACAGGGCATTTTAAAAGGTACCTGATGCATTCTAGGGCAGTCAAAAGATTCTGAGAGTGTTTCTGCAGCTGTAGCCTGAGGACGTCAGATGCATAGAGAGTCCTAATGTATTCAGTGATTCAGACAAATGCAAAATTTTCTAATAATTGAGTATAATAAGTCAATCATTATTTAAATCTTTTAGAAAGCAATATTGTTATAATGAATGCATATATGCAGTTATAGATGCATATTTGTGTATAGATGACTGTGTAGGTTTATAAATCTCTGTATGTATTTACATGTCTGTGTAAATATAAAACACATCTGCATGCACATACATACATACCTCAATCATTTGGAAAGTTTGTCCCTGGCCTTTAAAACATCTAATTAGGTTTCGTTGGATATTTCTCCTCTTCCTTTATGGCAAGTTAAACTATTTCAGTTTTGGGTGTTTTCATCTTAAGGGTCTAAGTTTTGGCCCATAGGGAACAGTGACAATGTTCTCCTTTCAAACACAAGAAATCAGTGTTACCCAGGCTTGCATTTGAGATCAGAAAGATTGAGAACCAATATCTAAAATTTCAGGGTCACAATGATTGTCATGAATTTTTGGCCATAATCATTTTGCTTTTCAGAGTCCTCCCAGGGTACTTTTACAAACGGAAAAAAAAGTGAGCACAAGAGGCTGGACTGGACAGAAAAGGATGAATTGGTATTACTTGGCCAGTATTTTCAATCAGATAAACTTGCAAATGAGCTTCTCTGCTCCAGGGCCAAAAACAGGGGATGCAGTGACACCTTAGCATACCCAGAGACTCAGTGAGCTCCTGATAAGCCTTTCTCATTTTTTCTATTATTATTAATTGACAGTAATTAATTATATATATTTATGGGGTATAGTGTGATACATGTATATAATGTATAACAATCAGGATAATTAATATATTAATCACCTCAAAATTTATCATTCCTTTGTGTTAGAAACATTCAAAATCCACTGTTTTAGCTATTTGAAAATATCCAATAAACTGTTGTTAATTATAGTCACCCTACAGTACAATAGAACATTAGAACTTATTCTTCCTTGCTACCTGTAAGTTTGCAACACAGGTTGGTTTACAGATGCAAAATTATAGCTAGGATGTTCCTTTCTTTTAAGGAAAAATCAAGCCCATTTTCTTGTCAACCCTGGTCTGCGTCAACAACCAATTTCCCTGCTTCTAGGAAATGTATGAGTCTCAGTGATTTATCTGGATTGAAAATGGGAAAAAAAGGACTGGCTTCATGGTTAGGCAAACTGCAAATTTGCTCTGATCCCTAAGAAAAATAGAAGTTAAATATTTGCTCATAAGCAGTATGTACCATTAGACTTTGTCTTTAAAAGCCATTCTCTAACCTTAAGAAGAACTCAAACTTACCATCACGGGTAATGTGCAAAGTAGTATGATGTGTCTATTAATACGATGCAAAGTGAAGTACGTCATATCAGCTATGTCATATTTTTGCCAAAATGTTTAACCTGAATGTAATCATGATGAAAAAAAGTAGACAAATCTGGATTGTGGAACACTCTGAAGGACCACAGCCCTAGACTTTAAAAAAATGTCAAGGCCGGGCACGGTGGCTCATGCCTGTAATCCCAACACTTTGGGAGGCCGAGGTGGGCGGATCACGAGGTCAGGAGATTGAGACCATCCTGGTAAACACAGTGAAACCCCGTCTCGACTAAAAAAATACCAAAAATTAGCAGGGTGTGGTAGCAGGTGCCTGTAGTCCCAGCTACTTGGGAGGCTAAGGCAGGAGAATGGAGTGAACCCAGGAGGCGGAGCTTGCAGTGAGCGGAGATTGCGCCACTGCACTCCAGCCTGGGCGACAGAGCAAGACTCTGTCTTAAAAAAAAAAAAAAAAAAAAAAGTCAGTATCCTGAAAGAAAAAATGAAGTTGAGAGGGCTGTTCTAGATCAAAGAGAGACACCTGAAAACCAAATACAATGTGAGCACTCTGATTGGATCCTGGATTAAAATAACAAACAAGCAATAGAGAATGTTTGAAGGACATTGAGGCAATTTGACCGTGAACTGGTATATTAGATCACTGAAGTAAGATTATACTTTATTGTGGTTATGTTGAAGAGGTGTCCTAGTTCTTAGGAAACACATGCTGAATTCTCTGGAGGTAGAGTGTCATGATGTCTGCAACTTACTTCTAAATGGTTCCAAAATATTTGGAAAAAAAAAAAACATGGATAAGGGGAGAAAGAGAGAGAGGGTGAGTACAGCCAAGTGCAAAAGTGCAAATGTTGCAAAATGGTAGCAACTGGTGAATCTAGGTAAAGGGTATATGACTATTCATTCTGCAATCTTCTCAACATTTTTGTAGGTTTAAACTAATCTCTCTTCCCAAAGGCAGCACATCAGTATCTGAGCATAGCTATTGCCTCTGTCCAAGTGCTGTGTTCTAAATCTGGGCGCCTATGAGAACTCTCTGAACGACTTACAAAATCCATATCCCTCAGTTGGGACCCACCTCTCATCCCCCAGGAGATTTTGATTCAGGAGATCAGGTGTGGGGCCCAGATATGGATGCGTTGAAAACTTCCCTAGGTGGGTTCTGTGCTGCACTGGAGCTTAGAAATCATGGGCCTGAGTTACTCTCAGATCTGGATCCATTTTAAACAAGCTGTGTGGCTCTGGGATGGCTGGCCAAACACACTAAGCATTGCATACCTTACCTATAAAATGGGAGCAATAATACTAAAGATCTTACAAGACTATGGTGAGGATGAGAGACAGTGTCTACATTATAGAAGGGGGTAATTTTTTTTCTTTCTTTCTTTATCCTCTCATAGATCCCCATCATCCCCAACTGATCATATCTTGAGTGATTTTTACAAAATGGAATTTCTTCCATTTGTAGCTTACATGGTATGTGGAGGACATCCGTCTATGTACAGATTCTTTTAGACTTCTTGCATTACCCAATTTGGGAAGAGGCTGGGAAATCTAGTCTATTAACTGGCTGATATCATGGCTGTAAGAACAGAAGCCAGCCTGTCCACAAGAAAGCCTTAGATATTGGCAGTCTTGGAGTTCTCCTTAGGATAAGGGTTAACCCTGATATCTTAACCACTCAAATCTTGGGATCCTTTATTAACTCTGCACAAGGACTCAGGTGCCCTTGACCAATGCCACTTGGAACATTGGCTGTGGCTTGGAACTGGCAAACGTTTGAGGGATGTGGCTTCCAGTCTAAATATGTAACTCATCAGCCATTGTATTTTGGATAAGTTGCTTCTCTGAGCCTCAGTTTCCTAAGCACTCAGAGTGGAGACAGTCATAATCTATGACTCACCTACCTTATGTGGTGGACGTGAAACACAGATTTGAAAATCTTAAGCTACTCCATTCAGTGTGGCATATTTTCTCCTTAAGGACATAACCATCCTCCTCCTCTTTCTTTTTTACTGCTATTATTTTTAACCTGTCTCTATTTATGTCCACAAGCAGTTAGGATGACTTGCTCCCATTTCCATCTGATTTTTTAAATATTCCTTTTCACCTTAGGATGAACTGCCCCAAGTCTTTGTCAGGGAGAACCTTCATTCCAGTCCATCTCAGGGAAGCATCCATACCCTATGCCTGGCAGCACCTGATCAATGTGTCGGGTTCACAGCAGAAGTACTAGGGCCGAGCTGGACCACGGATGTCCCCTTCCCCTTTGTTGGTTTTACTTACTGAATCCGTTGACGTCCTGAGAACTAGAAGAGAAGCCTTCATCATTGCGGCTGGCGCTGAGCTTGGTGGTGGGTTTGTCAGCAGAAGCCACAGGCCCCATCTCCCTCTGGGCTCCACTCTGGGTCTCCTTCTGCTTCTTGGCCAGCTTCCTTTGGGACATGTGCAAGGGGAAAAACCACAGTCAGATGGTGGCAGTTGCATTAAAGCACTGGGAAGATAGATTGTTCTTCCCCAATCCTCATCCTCAGCCCCCAAATCTGGTTCATTCTCCAGAAAAAGAATCAAGGCAGAACAAACCATGAATGGTTTCCGTTTACTCAGAAATAGGAGACTCACGCTGCTGCCTCACCCCCGACAATGCATGTGTTCTATGTTTGAGCCTAAAATGGGAAATCAATGAGACTCGTACAATGCTTCCCCCACTCTCCTTTCAGAGGAAATCAACAAGACTTGTATTCCTTTCCCCAAGTCTCCTTTCAGAGGGAGGAAGTGGCTAGACTGGCCTTTCTGTTTCTGTGGCTCTGAATGAAATTAAAAATGGAGACTTGTCTTTCTCAGGAACTGAGCTCATCAAAAACCCACCAAATAATAGTAAAGTGAAGCAGGGGCTGGTGGTTGGAGGTGGATGAGTGTGCAGGTTAGTTTCACAGCTCAAAAGAAGGAAAATTACAGCTGAATTGATGCAGTCTTATTCCCATGGGAATAAAAGACCCTCAGAACCAGACGGATATTATCATAATATCACTATTTTGATAATAATAGTGTAGAGCAGTGCTTCGCAAACTTTGGTGTAAATTTGAACCACCTGAAGAGACACACACACACACACAGGGGCTCCGGATCACTGAAGTAGGACAGGACCTAGAATTCTACATGGCCATCAAGTTCCCCAGGTGATTCTGACACCAACCATTGGAGGTTAAAACCATCAGCTTTGGTGTCAGACAGACTCAGGTTCATAGGTTACCTCTGCTGCCTGACAACTAGCTGCAAGACCCAGGGCAAATTTCTTACTCTAAATCCTGAACTATTCCTCTATATACTGTGGCAGATGACAGGACGAATCTTATTGGGCTGTGAGGATTAAATGAGACAATGCGTAAAATACACAGAGCACAGTGCCTTGCACATAGTGGACACTTGATGCCTAGCAGTTGCTATTCTTGTTTTTTATACTATTGCCAGTGGATCCAACTATATTGCAATGTTCGAATTCCCTCCCCAGCAGCCCCACTGTGGGATCCCATCTCTCCCTGAATTCTTGCAAGCGACATAGACTCTGACCTCACTGAGGAACTAAAAGGTTAAAAAGTTCTTTTCTATGGATTTAAAATCTATGTCCTTTAAATTTTAAATGGATTGGTCTTAGATATATCATAAGAGATACAAAAATATGACTAACTCCTCTTGCATATAAGAGTTATTCAAATATTTCTAAAAAGCCAACATGGTCCCTCTGAGTTTTTCCAACAAATATGCATCTAAATATAGCTGTCATAGTCCTATCACATGAAAGGCTATAGGTTAAACATCAGATATCTTGAGAGTAAATTTCTCCAGGTCCCTTGCTCCGTCCTTCACAAGAGTAGGCTTCAAATTCAATTTTGGTCATTCCTGTCTCAACACACAAAGAGATGTCCCAGAGAGGTCAAATGCAGTGCAATACAGGGAATAATTTTCCAAGTTTGAGCCCCACTGATCGCGAAACAGATAGTTTCAAGAGGTAACAATCTCGCTGCCAAAGGAAGTATAAAAGGAAATGATAAACCTCAACTTAGGCTGGGCATGATGGCTCATGCCTGTAATCCCAGCACTTTGGGAGGCTGAGCCGGGCAGATCACTTGAGCCTAGGAATTGAGACCAGCCTGGGAAACACAGTGAAACCCCATCTCTACAAAAATTACAAAAATTAGCCAAGTGTGGTGGTGCATACCTGTGCTACTCAGCAGGCTAAGGTGGTAAGATCACTTGAGCCCAGGAATTGAGACCAGCCTGGGCAACACGGCGAAACCCCATCTCTACAAAAATTACAAAAATTTAGCCAGGTGTGGTGGTGTGTACCTGTGCTACTCAGCAGGCTGAGGTGGTAAGATCACTTGAGCCCAGGAGGTGGAGGCTGCAGTGAGCCGAGATCACGCCTCTGCACTCCAGTCTGGGTGACAGAGTGAGACCCCGTCAAAACAAAAACAAAAACACAAAAAAACAAAAACAAAAAAGAAAACAGAAAAGAAAAAAAAAACCCTAGATCTCAACTTAGAAGTGCTTTAGAGGCATTCACGTGGGACAAATTCCAGTTTGATAGCATCCTCCTTGAAACATGAATCTCATGATCTAGGTGTAGACTTCACAGGAGAATGACAGATGGCATACGCAAATGAGGACAGTTTGAAGAAGGTCTATTTATAAAAGGTCTGCTGATAAAGGTCACAAGCGTATAGGGACCCAGGATATAACAGCATGTCAATCAGAGAGCTGTTTATTACCTATGGGACCAGAGGAACACATAGAGGAAGAAGTAACCAGAGCCCCAAAGGAGAGAGCTGTGAAGAGGAGGCACCGTGAACAGAAGCAGCGGCTTTCTCTTGAAAGTCCCAGCCAGTCATAGACAACCTCACAGGGAGAGAACCAGAGGCAAAAAAATGCCCTGACTACACCTTATGCCCTTCCTCTGGTCCCCTGTGGCAGCTCTCATTAGCTGAACCCAACAACAGTCGCAAGTGGCAAGTGATCTTTTTGACAGACTTCATACAGAATACACTCTAGAAGCAGAGAGCACAGTAGAGAAACGAAGAGAGGGGAACTGGATCTAGGAGTCCCAACCAAGAAGAGAAAAGTTGCGTTTTTGTTTGTTTGTTTTGTTTTTTGAGACCGTCTTATTCTGTCGCCTACGCTGGAGTGCAGTGGTGCAATCTCAGCTCACTGCAGCCTCTGCCTCCCAAGCTCAAGCAATTCTCATGCCTCAGCCTCAGCAGCTGGGACTACAGGTGTCTGCCACCGCATCCAGCTAATTTTTTGTATTTTAGTAGAGACGGGGTTTCACCATGTTGCCCAGGGTGGTCTTGAACTCCTAAGCTCAGGCAATCTGCCCGCCTTGGCCTCCCTAAGTACTAGGATAACAGGTGTGAGCCACTGTGCCCGGCCGAGAAAAGTTTCTTTATACTTCTTGTTTGGGCCATCATTTGAAGAAACATGTAGCCTAAAATGGAATTCTTCATTCATTATTATTATTATTTTTTTTCAAGTTGGCTTGGGGAAAGAAAGGCACTCAGGAAGAGGAATGCATCTTCTGGTTATAATGCTTTGGCCACAGGCACACTGTTCTACCAGTGAAACGATTCCGGGCAGACGTACAACAAGAAATGAAGCATTGGATCGGTCAGGCAATTAGACAGGGGCAGGGGGGAATGCCAACAAAAGAAAAATGAGCAATTCTGCTGCTGATGACATTTCGAAATTTTATTCTTCATTTATTATCAAAAAGGAGTGTGTTTAAAAATGTATATGTGACCTTCTTAATCATAAATTTGAAAAGATATATAGCAGATTCTTTGCTTCTATCTGAGCTCTGCTCACATTGGCCCAGCAGGAAATAAAAGGAAATCTGATAAGAGAGTTAACTTTAAAACTATAAATGAGTATGTTTCGGAGGCTTTGATATTTCCTTGGGGGCAGAACTCTCAACCAATCTCATTCCGTTCAGGGTAAAGTAATATGGAAAGGGTTGTCTTAGGCACAGATCATTGGTTTTCAAAGGAATCATCATAATAATAAAAGCCTCACTGCTTTTATGAAAAATGGTACTTTATAGAAATGTTTGGGTAGCTCTGAACACCTGTATTCAAAAAAGAAAAACTAAGCATCCCCAAAACACATATTTAAAAATTGGAAAGTTAACTGAATTGTAAAAATATCAGATATATTACCTCCTTGGTATTTAAAGCTGATGGCTGACTCTGTATGTTCATGGTGATAATAATGTTATATAATCATTTTAATGTAGGGACAGATGTTTTGGCAATTGGCAAAGACAGCTACAAGGCGGAAATGGAGAGGGTATTTGTGGAAGGAAATAAAACACAAAACCACAGTTTGGGGATCTATATCTATTCTTCCAGAATTCTGAATTTAAGTTTTTAAAAAAGACCTCTCAGTAACACAGAAAAATTGATATTCATCTCCATAGCCAAATAATTTAATTTACTACCCCCAGACCATAGAGGCTGGGTCTCTCTGGTCCCAGGGGCAGAATGAGGACCAGGTTGGCTTGATACAATGGAGGAATTTCTAGCAAAGTAGAACTGCTTAGGTCTCTTTTGGAAATACCTAATGCCTGAATTCCCCTCCCCAATTTTTCTTGTTTGGCAACCTTCTCTTCACCTTTTTAGGCCCTTATTTTTTTCTCTCAACAAAAGAGAAACCCAAATCTGTGAACAGGGCACTGGACTCTTAAACTATGACCCTTTAACTATGGACCAGGCTTCAACTCAATCTTATTCCCCTCACACAACCTTATCCTCCCATTTCAGAAAACATCAACTACCTCCTCCCACCACATTATTCCTCAATACTCCATATTCCTTGATGTGTCCCTCTTCTTCTCCACTGGTTGCCTCCTCTTTATCCTCCAAGGCTCAATGTAAGTGTCACATCTCCTCTGAGGCTTCTCCCTGCTCTTCTACATAGAATTATTATTTTCTCCTCTGGTTTGATTCATCCATTGAACATGTACATGTATCAGTCTCTGCTAAATGCTACAAGATCATGTCTTCTTAACCTTAATCCTCATGGAACGTGAAGACTAATGGCAAAGACAGGCATTAAACAGATACAGAGGTAGAGACAAAAATCACAAAGATGACGAACACCAAGAAGAAATACCTGTCGCTATGTAAGAGGTAGAACCTGGTTTGAACCCTGGCAGCAGATCAGGGAGGATTTTGGTGCCATGTCAGCTAAGTACTTGTTGAGTCAAACTGCAGTGATTCAACTCTTTCACCTACTACAACAAGAACCTCTTAGGAGAAGGGCTTTTGACTCTTTGCACCTACTCCAATTTCTTGCTGAGTGTCTGGCACATGGCTCAATAAATTTGTTGCACAAATTTATACTTAAAAGTCTGCAATCTGAAGTGTAGAAAAGATGGTCCTTT